CCCCCCCCCCCCCCCCCATTTTAGTCGATCCGCGCCGTAGCGTCAACGCGATAAATACGACTTCGGTGCTGCTTCAAAAACTGGAGCGCAACAAAAAAAATGAAAAAAAGGCCGGATTCAGAATTTAATTCGACAAAGTTTTGGTATTCTTTTCAGCGCGCTGACATTCAATTTCAGTGTCACCTCCATAAGGGTGCCCACACCTGCAGGTTGGCGGTGAAGAAGAATGAGCGGCATCAAACGTTTCACCACTTTCTGAACTTACTCCCAGTCCACCACAAAAAAAAAGTGTGAGTGGCCAGGAGCAAAATGTGGATAGAGAGCCGAGAAAGACGGACACCCACCCAATTTAGCCAAAGCTCTCATGTGACAGAGTTGCTACAAAGCTGCTGGAGTCAAGTGTGGAACACAGCCGGAAGTTTATGTACCGCGTAGTACCCAATTTTTGAAATATATTGTAGCGGTTTTCATGATGAGAAAACTCAAAATTCTTACGGGAAAAATAATAATACTTCCATCACTAAACACAAAGCTATAGAAAAATGAGCAGAATTAAACGGCATTAGATGTATTTTGTGCCCTTTTTCTTTTTCTCTCTTCGTCTTGCCGACGTCTCAAAACTGTGAGGTGGCAAGAGATACTTAACTTCTACTGCGAGATTTAAATTAATTCTTGGTATTCAACATCGTCTCTATTATTGTTTTGTCATCAGCTGGCAAGTGTGTGGGGATTCTCGTGGGGGGGGGGGGGGGGGGGATTTGCTGTAATGAACTTATGCAGCACAACACAGAACAACTCTCACAAGGGGACGTCTGCAGATGTTAGTGTGTGTAATTTAATAAGGTCAAACGGGAAGGGTCAAACAAAAGGCAGTGTCAAGCAATGCACAGCTGAGGTGGTGATGATGATGATGATGATGCTATCTCCAGGACACATGTATGAAGAGTGGCAGAGGGAACACAATAAAGTGAGAAATCCTGTTATCCCCCCTCCCCCTCCCCATTTTTTTGTTTCATACAGTCAGTCACTGAGCAAAAAGATTAGAAGATTTTAAAGAAGTGCATAATCTTCTTTCACAGCTTATCAAAACTTTAATGATTTGGTGATAAAGAGCACAAAGTTAAGTAGCCGGTTAAGAGGATAACTCCCCAGTGCAGTCTAGTGATTAGTAGATGAGAATTGGGAGACTGAAAATCCCGGTTGCAAATCCCACTCCTGCCACTTATTCACTTTGAGGGGAGAAGAAGCTCCATTTCAGCTTTGGGGTGGGGTGGGGGGTATATTGTCACGGGGTAATCACTTTTTGAAAAGTGATAAATGGAGCCCTTCTCCTTCGCCCCTTTTTTCGGAATCCAAAAACACATCTTTATTTACGTGTTTATTTGTCAGCGCGTCTCCCTGGTTAACACCCCTGTCAAGACCCAATTATAGCTGCGGAAGCCCGCCGCTTTTCACGGGGAGTGAGGCTGCAGACGGTGGTGTCAGGGCTGCGTACAGTCGAAGCATCTCCTCATGCAATCAGAGACAAAAGCGGGGCCTCTGTGCAATGTCCCGCGTATGGCCGCTTTAATGAGAGCAAGCCAGACACAATGCTGCAGATTGAGGAGGGTTGATCCTCATGACAGTGAGTCACTTGGTGTTTTTTTCTTTGTGCTTTACAGGGTGAAGGCTGAATAAACATGTTTTTTTTTCAAATTTCTGGCAGATATGCCCGCTTATTTATTTACATGAATCCATATCCGCCTGATTTATTAAAGATGCTCCAGATAAAGCTTTCGCTGAATTAGTGCGAGAACAAATGAATTGAAATGGCGAGCCCCTACTCCACTTGTGCCTTGCTCGTTATCTGCACTGAGATATAGATTCACTTAGTATAAAAGAGGAGCAAAAAAAAAAAAAAAAGGGAGGGGGGAGGGCATTAATTACCTTGTGAAATCTAAAGACCATTAACTTTGTGTGTCAAGTGATGTTTCTCAGTTCCTAATCAGAGTTTTAGTGATATAAATTACTCTTTGGAGTAAAACAGATATGGTGTGTGCATGTGTGTGTGTGTGTCCTCGCAGTGCAATTATTTCTGCATGTTTGTGACTTTGAGAAGTGAGGAAGACACGAGAGAGAGAGAGAGAAAAAAGTAAAAGAAAGAGGGAGCGAGAGAGACAGACGGAGAGGGAGACAGACAGGCAGGTGGGGAGTGGAGTGGATGGAGGATTGTCAGTGTTTTTCTTCTTTTTTTTTAGCGGCGGCGCTGTGTGGCGTGGTGTGTCGCGCCGCCGAGAGATAACAGGATGCCGGCGCTGCTCGCTTACCTTTGCTGTACACCACACAGTTGTTTTTGTTGTCTTCCGCTCCCTGCCAAGTCACATCCAGCAGCCACCTGGGGCCGGCGCTCAGCACCACCGGGACCGTGCTCTTCGTCTTCTGGACGGGGACAGATAACACACACTAATCATTCGCTTATTTTGGTGATTAAAGAAACATTAATAACCACTGAGTTACGCTCCTCTGCTGCTCTGAATGGCCGTAAACACACAATTTCAGAAACTATACACCATGCAACCCAAGTCCACCCCAATCCTCTTTTTCCTCTAATGTTTTTTCTTTTTTTGACAATGCTGAGAAGATTTGAGAATCAGGGCAGGTTGTTGTGTGTGTGTGTGTGTGTGTGTGTGTGCGTGTGTGAGAGGTTGCACAGTGGTTGGAGTGGTGAGAAATGGGTGCAAGAGAGTCAAAAAAGGAGGAATAATCATCCAGGACTGAACCCCAATGATTCAGCATCCGATCGCTTAAAGATTAGGAAGTACAAATCTGGGATTTATGTAAAAAGAAAGAAAGGAAGAAAGAAAGGAAGAAAAGGCTGGCGACTCTCAGAGAGGAGGAAGCGAGCGTTCAGCTCTGAACTTTGGGCGCATTGTGCCTTGCTATCCCCGGGATCTCACCATTTCCTGAAAACAAGCAGGGAAGAATTTAAAGAATCAGTATCCATTTCAAAGGCCGATTGAGGTTAGGGGTTTTTATAATATGCCGGGAAAAAAAATGTATTCAGAATGTTGTAAGGTCGTTTTTCTTCCCCGGTCAGAGGTCAAACGTGGGAGTTTTATTCCATCGGAAAGAAGAAGAAAAAAAAAAAGAGGGAGATAGAGTGCAACATCCACCGCGGTGTCACTGGGATCTTGCTGGTTCTATTTATCCTCATGTGATTTCCTGCTCTGTTCTATTTTGTTTCCTGGTGCTCCTTTTTCTCTCGCCTCTTGCAAAATGGTGGCGTCGGGTGTGTGAGTGTGTGGGCAACATCCCAGGCAGCTGGCTACAGTATTTACTATTCTCACTCAAAGGCAAAACGTCAGTATTTCAAGGCCGTTATACTTTTGAACCTCGGGGTGGAGGGTGGGTGGTGGTGGTGGGGGTGGGGGGACCCTCCTTCATTAAGATGTTACAGAAATAGTTGAGCTAAGAGAAATACGGGGCTGGGAGTGCAATCCCGAACACTCTCATTTCTTTTTCCGTTCCGAGGCGACAGGACGCCGTCCATCTGCCTAATGCAACAGAAGAAATGCTGGCGCTTTTTCACTTCCTCTCTCCCCCGCAGAAGGCAAACAACCTTCGAGGATAAATGCAAATGTCACTTGAGCATGTTAAAGGTCTGAATTGGCACAGATATGCACAAGAGATGAGCACAGGCAGTGCGCCTGCATGCCCCCCTCCTCCTCATCCTCCTCTTCCTCCTCCTCCTCCTCCAGCCGCCCATTTCTCTCGCCATGAACTCTATCTAGTCTGAGGCTGGAGGACAAACCGACTGCTTTTTTTCATAGAGCATTTATTTAGTAACAGCAAATACATCTCGGGGAGATGATAGCAATCTGTTTGGATTTTGTCTGAAAATTAAAGACACTAAATAAAGACAGATTCCTACGTAGTCCCTATATATATATAAATGTGTGTGTGTGTGTGTATATATATATCTGCACGCTGGCAAACTACACTGCCAAACTGATCAAACACAGACAGTAAATTGTGTCTGTTGATATTCTTATTCCTTCTCCTGGCATCCTCTTATCCCGTCCTGGCAGCAGATGAGAGAGAGAGAGAGAGAGAGAGAGAGAGAGAGAGAGAGAGAGAGAG